ACTTGATACGAAACTCTTTCATATAACTGCTTTCTCAGATCAATGACTGGCAATAACATCTAACAAATTAAGCCTGTAGGTCTTCATGAAGACTATAAAATGAAAGCAGTATTCAAGATAAGTCTTTTGAAAACAGAAATCAATGATCTGGAATTGGCATGAAAATAATGTTAGGGTATATTGTGAGTCCTTCATAAAACTCCAGGATGTGAATTAGTAAATACGAAACAATTCAAATACCTTGGTATATGGATCAGTTATAAGAAATTTAGAATAGGAGATAAGGGAATTGAACCTAGAATAAGCTGCATCAGAGATAGTTTTGGCCAATACTGCATATTGCTACAAAACTAAAACATCAGTCTGAAAGTTTGTTACTTTCTTAAATAGCCTCATCAGATTGAGACTTTTATGGATGTCATGCATAGCCATTCAGAAATATCTAAACTGTGAGCTGTATATGTTCTCCAGCCTTCATTAGGTACATATAGATCTGGGTAACCCACAGGGAATTCTGAACTGAACCCTCTATTTAATCTACAGGAGTAGACAGTTTTCGTTCCACTGTCAATGTCTAGGGATAACTGGTCTAGTTCTTATTTTTATTAAGGCTCAGTTATTGCTCACTCTGTTTATACTGAGTCCAGGGATTGAACTCTCAATCACTATGTCACCAAATTCACAAACCAATGCCTTTAACCCACTTTAGGTTACCTGGATTAATATACACTTGATTAAGTCTGGAGGGCACAACAGCCAAAACACTGTGATAACAACAACAAAGATGAGGAAAATGGTCCAAATGTAAATAGTGTTTACTAAATTGATTTAGTAAATATATTTTTTTTGTTTTTTTAAATAATTTTATTATTTTATGTATCCCATTTAAAAATTAAAGCTTAATTAGTTTTTTCAACTCCCTCTCCTCTCAGTTTAATTAATGTGATACCAAATTTCTTCAGACTAGTGATTAGAACCATAATGTATTAGGTTGGTGCAAAAATAATGTTTTCTCTTTTGAAGTTGAACGTCAAAAAACGACATTATTTTTGCACCAACCTAATACTAACAGAGCAAAGATTTTCCATTTAGAAAAGAACAAAAGTACTTGAGTGTGGCATGATGTCTACAAATATGGTGTTGAGAACAGGACAATTTCATCCCAAGTCGTAAAAAGACTTGAGACAAGTGAGATGTGGTTCAACTGATGTATGGATAGAACTTGCAACAAATTAAGTTGTAAGAATAGGAACTACAAAAATACTGTTGCTTGCAATCAATGAGATTGTTGAAATGAAGAAAGAAGGCTTGGAGAAATTAACACTTACAGGGTACAAAGAGAAACAATAGAATACTGAGTAACCTACTTGAAAAGTTTGAGGAAATGGATGGAGAAAGAAGTACAACAAAGAAAAAGATGCGATTGTAAAGGATTAATTATTGGCAAGATTAACAAAAGAAAGGAAAATGTGGAGAGCCATGATCACCCACTGCAGCACATAGGTGACCAGTGTTTACAAATCTTTTTCTGCACTGAAAAAGTTAACAGATTTTGTATATATTAAAAGGAAAAAAGCTTTTCTACATATACTTGATTAACAATGTCATCAAAAAAAAAAAAAGATGGTTCATTTTGTTAAGTCGTTCACATACTTTTAAATTAATGTTCATAATACCCATAAAAAAAATGTCTGACTTATTTACGCATAGATTGCCATTTCTGCTGACAATCAGTATAGCATCTGTGCACTCTTAGTATTTGCAAGTTAATTTTATTGTGCTGTTCAAGCAGCAGAATATTGGTATAGATGATTTTCTATGCCTGATGAACTTCAGGTCAAATGTTCAAATCTGAGAAAGATTTACATTTTATATACCCATTTGTTTTACTGCAACCAGATGTTGTATAAAATATATACAAATATCCATTATGTAGATATATATATATATATATATATATATATATAAAAAATGAAAAAAAAAATTTGATCTGAAGAGATGGGCACCTGATCCCATAAAATAAACTATTACCTATGGATTTCTAAGGACTTCACCTTCATTATTATTATAATATTTGCTCTGTTCTTACATTGTGCTGTCTTTGGATTTATATCTTCCTTGGAATTATCTCTACTAATTATCAAGTAATATTTTATATATATATATATATATATATATATATATATATATATATATATATATATATCTATCTCCTTTACAAATAATAAATATGTAAACAACACAATGCTTTCTAAATATTTATGGGAAATTAAAAACAAAAACCAAATTACAAAGATAATGTGGAAAATAAGGAAAAAAGCATTTGTCTTCAGCAATAAATCCAAAAACTTAAAACTCAGTCTGGAGGATAGAAATAATTATAATCACTTTCTCAGACCAAAACAAATAAACGATCAGAACTTATCTCAAAATGTAGACATGAAAACAAATTTTTACTATGTTACTTAATAATCAAAAACTAAAAATGGATATCTTGTAAAATACTAACATGAAAAATGCAAATATATGTACACACAGATAATGCAGCGTAGTTCAAACAAAACCGATACTTTAATTAAATAAGATAATCACCCCTCCCCGTAAATATAAAATACACAAAAAATATAAATAAATGAAGTATTAGTTCTTAGTTCTTCTCTGCCCAGAGGCAGAGAGTTTGACCAGCACACTTCTGAAGTAATCCGGATAGTGATCCATTAGACGCCACACTAATTCCCATATATACATTTCCTTTACCGTCACATGATCTACTTACTCAAAATGGGATCGCCTGTGTTTGCTCTCTGGTGATCTGTGTTCAAACTCCAGTATCAGCAGCGACACTTTATTCCTATATAACACAACTTCAAATAATAATATGTAATCAATGATAATAAGTAAAAAGTTAACAAATAATCATATTCGGATCCATAATTATTTCTACTCAATAACCTCTAGAATAATTTAAAAGATAATTACCACTCACCCAATAATCATTAGGATAAAACACTAGACATTACTACCCATAATGCACCTCTGACCAATATATATAAAAATGCAAGACATGGCCTGAAGATTGTGTTGAAGCAGGAAACAGACTGTTACCACTCATTGTTGACCCCAGTGGTAACTTTTATATTCACATACACTATCTCTGATATTGTGCATCTTTACATATAAATATAGCATACCTTAAAACTATTATCTTTTATCTTATATAAAAAATAAGACAAAATGAAAACTTTTGTTTGACATGGTAAAGTCTATCAGAGGATGAAAATTTTGCTGTTATTCATATTGTCTTCTTACAAATATATTTTATTTCTATCTGAATTTTTACATATTAGAAAAAGAGTGCAAACATTGGAATCCACATTGCAAAATGGATATTACATGAATTGGCAGTCGACATACAGTGTTGATTTCTATGTCCACACTAGATATAATTGACATAAATTCTACTTTTATGTGCCATGTCCATTCAGGATATGGGTGATCATAGTTCTCCATAACTTCCTATCCTTTGTAACTCTAAGGAGTGTATAGTCTGATATTCAGCTTCTTGTTTTACTGTTTTTGTCCGTCACCTGTGAATCGAAATACAGGGTTGGCCTCCTAAACATTTTCAACTTTAAAAAAAAAACAAAAAAAAACTCACATAATTTTTTTTAATTAATGTAATACCTAGTAAAAATAATAATTGTTTTTTGTTTGTTTGATCTTCAATTTAATCAAGTAACGTTATATATATATACACACACACATATATACAATAAAAGATTTTGCTCTCTAATAAATACATTGAGCTCTTTTTGTGGATCAGTTTTAATATTTTATTACTAGGATCCACTTGGATTATATACCAACGGATTTATTACCTTTACTATATATATATATATATATATATATATATATATATATATATTTATTCTAGTCCTCTCTTTCTCTCTCTCTCTATATATATATTAAGAACAGCTGGTATAAAATGGTGGTATTAAATAATTAAATATAGATTTCGTGAAAACTGGAAAGATATCTTTTTTTTTTTTTTTATCCTTGTAACAAAACAAAAAAAAAAAAATTAAAGTGTTTTTTCAATATAGTTTTAGGTAAACTCATATCTTCTAATTAAATAAAATTTATTTTAAATTAACTAAAATTCTTAATAGAAATAATAATTTTAAAAAAGAAACTTTTTTTTTTTGTTTTTTACTCTCTTCAGAAAAAGAAAATTCAAAAGAGAAAACAATTTTCTTCCATTGTTTCTTTAAGTCCGGACATAAATTGTTTTTGAATTCAATAAAAAAAAAAAATCAACTGTTTTATAAACACTGAAGAAAACAAAAGTTTTCATATTTCACCCTCCAGATGAAGAAAGAAGAATCTCTCTCTCTCTCTCCTCCCCACACTCTTTTTAAGTAATGTTAACTTTCCTGTCTTATTTGGGAGGGGGGTCCAAGTAAGGAACATGCTAAGCAATAGATATAGATCACTTACATAACTTTCCACTTGAACCGAACAACATAATTATGCCGTGTATTTTATGTGCAATTGTCCTTCCATACTCTTAATAGCTACACTCGACGAAACAGGTTTAGATTTTTTTTTTTTTACATTAAACATTTCTTTCTTTCTTCTCACCCGCTGCCACGCTCTCTCTCTCTCTCTCTCTCCTCCCCTCCCCCTGTTGTAGAGTAAAAGTTCTGTCTCACTGATAATTTCTTTCTTCTTATGTGTCGGTGGGGGTGTCTAGTATATACATGTATATGTGAGATTTGAGCTTATCCAGAAAGCAATTTGAGTGTTTAATTGAAGACACACACAGACATTTTATTTATTTTTATATATATATATATATATATATATATATATATATATATATATATATATATATATATGTATGTTTGTGTGTGTATAAAAGTTTCATAGCTGATGTTCGTATCTAATGCACCATTTTTATCAACCCAACCATTTCTGGATGTACTTGTCTACCAAACACCATGCTGATTTGCAATTTAATTTTTCAGCCTAAAATACAGACTGTGGTGAGTCTCTGTCTTTCACATACATGACTTTTTCTTTTCTTTTTTTAACCCAGAAATTCCTTGTAAAATCTTTGTACTTTTTAGAGCTGACTGTCTTTTCAAAAAAAAAAAATTATCTGTTATCTTCTCTTGTGTCGAGAAAGAACTTCAATAATCAGTAGTTCTACTAATAATGTATTTATCTTTCCTCACACGGCGTACAACTCGTTTTCACACTCACTCACTATTTATTTCCAAGTACTATTTTCAGTCAGTTGGTTTTACTTTTCACATACAAACACTTGCACTCATTTTTATGAATACTGTTCCTTCTCGTGCATCTGCTCTTTAAGGCATCTTTAAAAAAAAAAAAAAAACAACAGGCAGACACTGTATGTCTGTAGTCTGCAAATGTTGACTTCAGTCAGAATAGTGTTTTTTAAATTTTTACATTCAGTAAGTAAATATAAATTTCCTTTGCAATTGAATAAAGCTATCTGGTTGTTGTTTATTTTTTTAAGTTAACCCTTCCCAAAGGAAATGGGAGGGGATATATCTCCCCACCACCACCAAGATCCATTAATGATTTTAACTTTTTTTCTCCTATTATTAACAACATTTGTAAGAAGAATAATTATACATGTTTCTATATTATTACTACCAACGCTCACTATGAACTTTATATATATATATATATATATATATATATAGGATTAAAAATACAAATAAAATTTGTCACTTAGCTGATTGATGGTTATATTCACAGCATTTCAACTCTAGAGTTTGGTAGATTAGTTTTTTTTTTTTTGTTTTTTTTTATATATATAATTGTTTAAGTCCCCTCTTCAGGAGAAATCAACAATTTTACACAGACTATATATATATATATATATATATATATAAATAAAAGGCTCAAACACTAATATTCCATGGTTATAATTTATTACATTGGAATTGTAATAATCATGATCCAATTCAACAGATGTACAAATTTAATGTTTTTTTTTCAGTATATTTTCTTCATACTGTCGGATCTATATCCATATATTTGCTTTTATATATATATATATATATATATATATATATATATATATATATATATATATATATATATAATAAACCTCTTATAAATGGACAAAGATCTTGGGACAAATTTCCTTGTCTATCACTATCACATTTGATTATGTATGAGAGATACTGCCTATATATATATATATATATATATATATATATATATGAGAGAGAGAAATATAAAAGACCATAAACATTTTAAAAGCTTTAGATATTTTTGTCAGTTGCAACAATGAAAGTTATTTTACTTAACAGCACCTTATTTTTTTTTCTTGATTTTATTATTTATTACTTATCAATACAACCAACCTTCAATTTATATATATTTTATTTCTTTAGTATTTATTCACAATCTTACTTGCAAGTGTCGTTCAAAATTTGGGGCATAAAATTGCAATCCATGTAAACTAACATTCCATTATCATAAAGCTAAGAATTTCAAATCCGATTCAAGAGCCCCTTTTTCCTAGCAGTCAGTTTATGAACTCTTGATTATATTTGTATAAATTTGAGACTTTGTAACTTTAGCATTATAAATATTTTATTATTTTAATATTCATATTTATACAAATCAGAGGTAACGAGGATGATTTAAATTAGGAAAAAAAAAAAAAATGAACAAAAATATGCAGTTTTGTGTTTTCATTTAATTTTAAAGTTTATATTAATATACATGTACTCCATGCCACTGCACACCACAGCATGAGTGTGACAGAGAGGAATCATGGTTATTAACACACGGTACAGTGATACCTCAGCTTAAGTTATTTTGAGTTAAGTCATTTTCAAAGATACATCGGTTTTTCTTAAATATTATGAAAAATAAAACTCGCTTTAAGCTGTTTTAATCGACTTTACATTGGTCGTTAAAAATATTAGAAATGTCAAAACACTAAAATAACAAACAAATGTAAAATCATATTTAAATAAATTTAAAAGTAATATGTATACTAACAGAATAATAGCTGGATTCGAGGATACCCGTGTACTAGGGTGGCTAGCCATACCCTATTGCAGACACTCACTCAGGCACATTTCTTTGCTCAACACCCACAGAACCCACCTGTTGTTTATACTGCAACTATGCTGAGTAGACCTTAGTTACAGTTTTTGGGAGAGAGTGTTATCTAGCATGATCAACAATTTGAACAAGTCCTGCATGCTCAAGCCCTCGGCCATGATGACTTGTGGCTTTGTGCTAGAACAGCTATCGATGACCCTCAAGAGTTCTGTCTACCCAATTTCACAAGGCTTGGGTCAACCCATGGTATGGTTTTCAGGCACTTTCCAAAGGTGCCACACACTGGGATTGACCTCAATCCATTCCGATAACATCAGAAAATTACGTACACTAATACATATATATCATAAAATCATCAAATAAAAAAATAGCATAATAAAGTATGTTCAGCAGATTTTCTTATTTCAAATTCCTGCTGACAGATGGCACTCATCTATTGTTTTCTGCTCTCCAACACCACTTTTGAATTCAGACTTGTTTACATCTGTGTTCTGGCATTGATGTTCTTTCAATTACATTTCAATTGTGATTTAGAATACATTTTTACACATGGCTCTGAAGAAAAGTCCCAGCACAAGTGCTAATACTAAACGTAAGTCTACATCACTGGAAGACAAGGTGGAAATTAATTATTTTATTCAGAATACTGTATATACATATAAATACTGTAATAAACAATGGAGAGTGCATATTTGCAGTTTATAGTGTGGTTATTTCAACCTAAGTCATGACCCCTGGAACCAATTAACAACTTAGGGTGAGGTATACCTGTAATTGAATAAACCAAATTTAGCTGATCCATCTTGTATTAACTTTACAATGAATATTATTAGGTGGGCCATAAACCCATCTATTTCTTTGCTACGCCTTGGTCAAATGTCTCATCACTGGCATGCCACAATATTTTTTATGGAAAAGAGAGATGGCAAGTGGATACAAAAAACTCTCCTGCCCTGGTAACAGTAAAAACTGTTACACCTATTATCAACCTTGACAGAGACCAATCAATAATTTGTGTATTTATACATGTATGTAGAAGTGTTTCTCTGTGTGTGTGTATGTATATATATAATCTCACATGGACAAATTACCTAATACATTTTTTTTATTATTTTCTTAGTGTGTTTACAGTTATCAATATTTGCAGGTTATTTAAAGCCAGAATTTATTTTATTTTTTAAATTGTAAGAAGTTTTTGGAGATAATAGTTTAGGCTTGATGTTGCTTAATTTTGGTAATCATATGAGAACCAATGTTTCAATGTGATATGGGCATGTGTTATTTTTATATATAATAATATTTTTATAAGATATTATAACATCACTACACGAAAGCTTTTATGTTTCAATATTATGATTGTAGGTGATGGTTGGTAAGTGGTGAGTTACCAACCATTGCCTGAGAAAGTACAATCATAGTTGGTAACTAAACAGTTACCAGTCATCACCTGAGGAAGTACAATCATAATATTGAAAAATAAAAGCTTTTGTGTAGTGATGTAAAATGTCTTCATTATAATCTTGTATAATAAAAAAAAAAAATCACCATTTTGACATATTTTCGATGTAATATCCATGAAAAAAATAAAGTGTGTGTATATATATATATATGTGTGTGTGTGTGTGTGAATAAAGATAAAAGAAAAGAAAAACTTATCTTAGCCAACACATTATGGACTTTTTGCGGCCATTTGCCTTGATAAAGTTCAACAGTAAAGTTTGTTTACATTAAAAACTCTACATATGTGCACAAAAAAAAGTAGATGCTGAGAATTTTCAGTTAGGATCTTTTTCTAAGTTTTGTGTCTATAATCTAGTCAATTTCATTTAGATTCTTTTTGTTTTCATCACTTTTGTTATTAAATATCCTGAATTGTGATAATAAAAGAATTACCAAGAATAGTGAAACCTAAGAACCTGGATGTAAATTTACTGTGGATGATCTAGTGATTAAAGCACATACTAAACATTTTTTGTCTTAGTAAATCATTTTGTCTTTCAGTTTGAGTATAAATCAAAATTATAGCCAGTCTCATTACAGTAATTCATGCATTTGTTTTGGAAAATATCCCTTTTGTGTTCATATAATCATTTATTTAAATTCCTTGAGGTTTCTCCAATGTATTCTTTGTGGCAATCATTCCAGGTAATAAAGTAAATTCCTCATACAAGATTTAGCTTATTATGTTTTGTATTGTCTTTTATTGTTGTAGTTGTGACAAATATGTTGAGTTTAGAGAAATTCTTTTCACTTGTAATTGATAAAGTTGGTGAGTAGAACAAATATATATATTTTTTTTATTCATTGGATTTGGCAGGAATAAAGATATTTGTAAAAATAAAATGAATTAATTTTCCTTGTTTAGAAGAATTTTATAGGCAGAACACTCACCGAATACCAGTGGCTAAAAAAGAATTTTTACTTTGGGTTTAAAAAAAAAAAAAAAAAAAAAAATGACTTGCAGTTTTGAAAATATACACATTATAAAACTTTATTTTAAGTGTATTTGCTATAATTTTATTTGTAGAAAACTAACAATTTTACTACACTAGAGACTCACTTGTATATCTGGAAAGATACACATTTTACAAGTAGAATAAACAACTATTTTAATTATTCTTCATATCTAATTTAGGTGCATTCCCTGGATAAAAAAAACAAATTTAATTTATTCATAAAAAAAGATCTTCATTCATTTTTCTTGTTTACAACAACTTTATTTTGTGATTGGCATACACAGTGGCTTACTAGAAAACAATTACAAGAAACCTAACTTCATAAAATTTAACATTGATTAAGACAAAACTGGCAACTATTTTTTTTATTTTTACTCACTATTTTATTGTTAGCTTAATTTTAAAACAAAGTTTTTATTGAAAACTGAAACAAATAGATTTCAGACATCATCTCGTATCTTCCTTTTTTCTGT